CAGTATAGTATTCAGCGAAAAATGATTCGTTGATTGACGTCAAAATGACATCAAATAGACGTTGAAATCGTCAAACCGACGTCAATTTGATATCATTTTGACGTCAATCAACGAATCATTTTTCACTAGATATATAGATGTCTCAAACATGAAGTCTTAAATAACTCAGTGGAAAGAGCGGTTGTCTGGCAAGCGGAAGACCCGAGTTCGATCCCAGCCGAGTTTAATGTTTTTTATTTCATATGGCATTAAAAGTGGACATCTACAGATACACATAAGAGCAGCAGCATCTCCGGCCAAAGTTTCTGATCTTTCTTTCGTGTGGATACAATAAAATTTATTAAATCCGAAGAAATCTTTTTGAGTTGAAGTAATTCTATATGAATACTCTAAGAAGTTCTGAGGAACTCCAATCAACATGTAACTGGTGCATGTAACTTCCTAAATCATTCTTATAGTATTGTTCCACGAATTCCTAAGGAAGTACAATTCAGGAAAGAAGAAAACTTTAGGAACACTTAAAGAATTCATCGTGCTATCTGGGCTGTATATACATCTTATAAAATACTATATTCTTTTCTTGATGTTTTCATTAAAGAAAAATCTGTTAAGTTTCATAAGAAACAACACTTCGCATCCACTTCTTACTATCATATGAATCTTTTGTTTGATTTCATTTATACAATTGATCCGTAGGTGAAGATAATGGCTTCGCCCAAACCCTGACAAAAATCGATGATGTCTTAGCTCGTCATGGTATTGACACGACATCGTGTATGCAACGTGTGGTGTGCTCTTACTCACAACAAGCAGCTACCACGGTTGGCAATGAGGACAATAGCGTAGATGACAAGATGTCGTCCTTCGACAAGATGATAAACATCATCACTACTAATCAAATGTTCCGCACGGCCATGCAAGGTACAGCAGTACAAGAAGCAGCGGAAGCAGGTAGGGCCGGAAGAAACTGCTTAAAATCATATCAACATTGTGGATTCTCAATAGAGACTATACTATCATTATTGTCCAGTATCATCGCAGCCACGAATACACGCGTTGCAATGCCCACTGGCATCTCATCGTTGTAACAGTTATTTATAAAATCTATAAAACTGTTTTGTTTATAAATTAGTGAGAATATATGTAAAATAAAGAAAATGCGTTATAAATTATATTATAGTTTTACGTCTAAATTAACCCTTAGCTAGCACACTTCATCACAATCACATAGCTGGCCATTTGAGACCCCAACCACTAAAATGTTTGCTGCGTGGAAGCTATTGATTTTTTTCACTTAAAAAAATTTAGTAAAAATATGCAGAATAACGGACCACCCTCCGATTTTAATAATCTTCCGATATATTATACAGTTGATCATCCTGAATAATATTCAAGAGGTTTTAACTGTCGCTCGTTGTTTATTAAAAAATTATTAACAAAGAAGATGTAATGAATATAATGTAATTTTCTAATATTATATATACTGATATTGTAGTTTCGTATTGTAATATTATTCGATAAATGAAAGTTGTTTTGTTTACATTTCTTACCGAAATGAAATAAGCTATTGTTGATATTAGACCTATGAAACGTACTTATAAGGAATAATAAGCCAGTATATGACAGTCTTTCGTATAGTTACCGTTCGACTGCTGAAAAATGAAATTCTATGAATTTCTCGCTTTAACGACGAGACGTATTGATTTGTTAAATTATTTGTGCGCAAAAAATGTTATACGTGAAAAAATAAAGTGTCCACACTGCGAAAATGTTAAGGGATGTTATAATTGTTAAGGGATGTTATAATTTAATTTACGCATTTTATTGCATTTATAAATTCAATCATTATATATACAGAAATATAGTTATTAACAAAGAAGTTTTATAAATGAAACGTAAAAAATACAAACAGTATATATTTAAATATGGTAAACAATACACGTATATGCGCTCACACACACACTACTCGCCAGCAAGCGCGCTCGCCCATCCGACAGGGCGGGCGAGCGGTGGGTGTATATGTACACGCACCGGCGTTAATGCCGTCCGAATATCCGTGTGACTCGCACACGATAACACGTCACTCATACACTGCTGCGTGTAGGTGAGCCATGAGCAGCACGGAGTGGCGGAGGGAGCTAGCGGTATACGATCGTCGGACGCTTGGAGAGGGAATAGTGGTGGGAGTCGCGGCGATCTTCCATCCTCTATCGCAAACGTAAGAACGAGAGAAATAGCATTATAAGACGTCTGGACAGAAATGCCGTCCTAAAATACGTGTGACACACACTAAGAAAACGCTTGACTCACACTGTCTCGTCTATACGTGAGCAATACGCGGTGTCCCGACGACTGTTTCGCTCGCT